TTTACTTTAAAAAAGGATTAAAAAATCAGTACTGAATATAAAAAGTCTGGGTGGTCCATTACAGTAGCTTGCTGACTTTGCCTCTTCCGATAATTTAGTCTGAGTGGCATCATTTGGAACGGCCTCGTCTTGTGCCACTACTTTTCTGCTGTGACTTTGCTACAATAGAATCCAGAGAGTGATTAACATAAGACACAACAACTGACTGAGCACAGTCGGCCTCTGTATTAAAAGACTGATTTCTTTTACCTTTTGTTGCGCTTTTCCTGCAGGTTACAGAATTTCGTTTGGTTTTAATCACTTCCTCCACATGTTGGCCTTTGATTGTGTTAGTTCCAGCTTTTGGAGGAACTTAAAGGACAATATTGCAATGTAATCAGGATCTGAATACTAATGTTACTGCAAGTAGCCATATAAAAGGTGAATGTGAGATTCTGACCTTTTGAGCTTCTCTTTCCTTGTTTTCGGCTTCTTGTTCTTGTCTGCAGGTTCTGCATTGACCCTTTTCGTGCTTTTTTTTCTGTCTTTTTGAAGCATTTTGTGTTTTGGAGGTTGCATTTTCTTTCTTTACCTTTTATGTTGTCTTTTTTCTTAGCAGGTTTTTCTTTTGCTGTGCTGTCAGCGCGTGTCTTTCTGGCTTTCTAGAGTGAAGCAGATGTTGTTTAAAGTTCTTTCATCTGTTCATGAACCCAAGTGACAGAAATGCAAAGTACCAGCATCTAATTTTTTAATCAGTGTAATCGTGATCATCTTTCTGCCTTTTCCACTTGATTTTGCGAGGTTTGGCACCTAATGCCGGAATATTTATTATTAATATTTAGACTGACATGACGGTAGGCCATCAAAGAGAGGAAAAGTTCAAGGGTTTCATGTATAATTGAGTAAAATAATGGCGGATATTTTAACTAAACAATGTGATTTTATTCTTAAAGTTGAGATGCATGTTAATTTAGAAATGCACTGTTCATGTTTTTTTAACAAGCAAATTGAGCTTAGCAACTGCAAACGTTTTTCCTTTAAGCAACAGACAAAAAAAGAATGAAAGTATATGAACAAGAAATGCAATATAACTTCAGAAGTTGTTTTTGTTGTTTTAAATTTGAGCAAAAAAAAACTGAATGGTTTGACTTCAACTTTGTAGTATTAAATAAAATTAAAATATATAAAATCCTTTAAAATATGTTATGCAATCAATTTATGTAATGAGTAAAACAAAGGTGCTACCGCAGTAGTTTTGTTTAAAGGGGTCATATGATGCTTTTTTAAAGATCATTATTTTGTGTATTTGGTGTAACAG